AAGCAGCCCATAACTTGGCTGTGTGACTGTCTCTAATAATGCAATTCTGAAGTTACTTGATTGACAGATGAATACAGCAAAAACATTAATTAGTGACCCAGACTAGTTTGTCAGAACCCGCTTTGATATTCACAGTGATTTTGTCCAATTGCTTTTGCCCACCAGCTTTATCTTAAAAGCTCAGTGCTGCACAGAGTGGATGTAATTATTAACTTTTAAGCAAAGGCAAGGACCTCTACTTTTTTTTTCTATTTCTACCTGGATAATAACAATGAATAAGATTAATTGGTGGGTGGGCGAGCAGAATAGAAATCATGTTCAAATTGTATGCAGGAGGCAGTAGTATTATATCTGAGTAAGAGCCCGAACTACAGATCCCTGTATTAATAATGCAAAAGGACCCCTAGGGCAGCCATCTATTTGCAGAGCCCCGCAACCCCCAACACGTAGTCTTACACATACACGCACATACTGAAGTGTGTGACTTTGGATTCATGTTATCATACCATTTTTCTTCAGGCAGTGTTTCCAGGCAGGCAAAGAGTCTTTTGTTAGTTTGGTTTGCTCACATAATTCATTAGTCCTTTGTGATTTTCATGCAGAATGATTGTTGCATAATTACTGATTTTCTACTGTTTGTAAAGGTATAGCAAATATGTCTACCACTGGCAGTAACCAATCAAACTGTTCAATCAAAAGGTATGCCTAGAGCACAAGGAAACCTGCTATATGTTGCATATCATTGCACACGTATATTCTAAAAGTTGTGATTGTAAATGTGTCAAAAAAAGCCTAATATATTTTCACCTTGGTAAGGATGAATGGGGTTAACTTAACTAAGAGTCTGTTTGTGTTCGGACAACCTTGATCACACCAGTTTGTGCAGTATATTGTGTCATAAAACACTTTCTGGAAGTAGCAAATAGATGATCGTTTTTTAACCAGTCACATGGCATTTCAAGATACCCATAAGTCCCATGATGGTTCTGTTTCTCAACTACATAATATCTCGTAGAGAAAAGTGAGATTTGTGAGATTTTTGCTGGCTTCTGTGCTTCTCCTGGCTATGGGTTTTGCTGAAACTAAGGAGCCTTATAACAGTATAGCAGGTGATTGACATGTGCTCCCAAGTGAGTGAAAGACTTTATTATACCGTATAACTTAACCAATCATGTTTTGTAGATTTACAGAATGAATTAAAATCAGTTGAAACTCAAATTCAAATAATTTGTAGATTAGTGAAATATAGGTTGAAAGTAGCAATATGAATATTTTATCTCATAGCTTTTAAATAATAAGCGTAGACAGTGTGAAATGTTTCCTGAAGTATGAATGGATTATACAGACGATGTACTATGAGGGGCCATCATATACATGTATTTTTCCTCAAGCATTTTACTCACATGCGTGAAAGCTTTTCAGTAGTTTTAATGAGAGCTTTTCAGTTGCGAATGTGAGGGTACAATTTATCAGTTGTTTGTGTGAGAGTGTTTAAGTTGTGTATTCAAAAGCATTTCATTTGTGTGTGTGTGTGTGCGGTTTTCAGTATAGTATTTGAATGAGTTTGGTTTCATATGTGAATGTGAGAGGAAAAGTACATGCATGATAATTCTAAACAATGTCCCTTATGGCCCCTCATGATGTACAGTGACATGTGGTATGAGGTGAAAAGCACACGTTTGCATAGCATTGGATGTGCCAATGTCCAATGTATTGAAATGTCACTGTGTTTTAAAGTAAAGTTTTTATTATGTCTGATTTATTAACATTGAAATGTTGACTTGTGTTTTAAAAGATTATTTTACTCTCTGGTTTGTTTCGTGTTTTATGTTTTGTTAATATGCTATTTAAATTCCTGTTCTATAGTCATTTTATGAAATGTTGTGTTTTCTGTTTTGACCAGTGGTGTTGTTAAGGCCACAATACAGTATTTTCAAATGGCATTGATTTGACAGTTTGCATATATAATGCTGTAAACAAAAGAAAATATTACATTTTAAACTAGACCTTTCCAGTGTGCACTGTCATTGTTGGAAGAGCACTATAAATATTGTTTTGTATCATTTGTGTAATGGTAAGGCTAAAATCTATAACTGTTTTGGCATGTCCTCCACCTGAAAACAATGATTTCTCTGTACCTGACGAACTGGTATTCTCCAGCCGTTTCGGTAAAAGTAAGGAACGGCTTACTTCAACAGGAAGTTATACAAGTTAGCAATTTTTCCTTAACTTTAGAAAAAAACATTCTACTTTGCAGTTTCCATTTAAACTTATTACACATTGTCTTGCTGTATTGCATTGTCCATTTTCACATTCCAATTGCAAAGTGGGTCTCTTATCTCCACAACATTTATACAAAACTATATAGATGGTAAAGATACAGTACTCAGTGTCTGTTCCTCTGAATGTGGGTCATAGAGGTTGATTCACAGAATCTATGGTGCATTCCCTGTTTCATTTTATGCTCACTTTGTATAAAGTATGGATGCCTGAAATAATTACCTGGGTGGGAGCCATGGTGAACTAAGACAGTATATCTCCCACAGCTTAAAATCGGCCTGCCAGTTCAAAACAGTTATGTAAAGTATCAGCACTCACAATTCCTATTCAAGTGCTGCAGCCTCCAGATCTTTGTACAGTTGGTGTATTGGGAGATATGCAGTATAATTATAAAGAGTATTCCTGGTCACCCAGAGGTAATTTTCTTCATTTTTTCAGAGTTTTGAATAGAACTTTACTGATCTTTATAACATTAAGACCATCATCAACCATGTAATTCCTTCATGTGTCCCATGGAACTACATACTGTCAATGCTGAATAGCAGAATAGACCTTTTTTACAGCAGCAATCTTGACATGAAATAGGAGATTAATCACTGGTGTTGACAATAATACTAGTGTAGCAACATGCACAAGAGCAGCACCCTAACTCTTTTTGACCTGAATGGGCAAGCTGTCAAGTCAAGTCAGTCAAGCTGAAGTCAAGCAGCAGAGGTTAAGTGACAATGTGCAATACTTCCAGCCCATTTCAACTAAATATGCAAAAGTAGGGTGTTTATCCTTTTCTGGACGGGTCAATAAAAAAAATGTATAGCCACTTGTTCAGGAACCATTTCACCATTGAATGGGACCTCAATAAGTATAATTGGAATCACCTGTGTTTACCCTTTTATTTCATGTCAAAATGGCTGCAGTGAAAAAGTCTGTAGTTTGTTTGTAAACTTGAACATGCAGCACTCCATCTTATATCCAATAGTATGTTCACCAATGAAAGAAATAATGCATACAATACATTAGCCTGTGGGGCTTTGCCATTACTTTGAGCAGACTAACATTTCCTGCTGGAGATACTCCAGATACTTTGATGGCTGGAGATCTCTGATGTTTTAACTTTATGGGCAAAAGGTTTTCAAACTCCCCAAGGGAGTCTTTCACATCTATCTGATGAGGCGATACCTACGTTTGCTCTCTCCACTGCCCTTCTCTGCATCAAGGGTATTCACTTGGAAAGAGAAAAAAAGACAAATTGATGACAAATCTGCCCTAGGGTTGTTATTGTTAAACCATATTCCATGATGTAGTGGCAGAGTTCAACCAAGTTAATGATACTGCTGTGTGTGAGCGTATATCCAAAAACAATGCTTCAGCTGCTGCTGGCATTGTTTTGACATCAGGATGGCATCCCTGTTTCTGAAATTGATCTCTCTCTCTTGGACAGACAGACCTTAGAGAAATCTGTGGCACTCTGCTAACTCTGGGTTGGGTCCAACAACAAAAAGAAAAAGGAAATAAGGATGGTATTTTAACAGGGGTATTATTCGGTCATTTGTGAGAATATGTTTCTGTAATTATAGTATTTAATTACACAATAAGAGAGCCATTATCATGGAAGTACAGTAAAGAGAAAATCCTCTGTCTTTCCTGTATCTGTTTTACTCCTGAAAGAAGAGTTAACTGGGAGCTGTGATAAATATTTCATAACATGACTGCAAGATGAAGGCTGAAGGATAGCTTTTAAAACTTGCTCAGAATACCAATGGGATGGCCTTATAATTTTCTTTAGATGAAATTAAATTGTATTTGTGTTTGACAGAATTTTTCTAACACTTAAGAAGGATCTCTGCTTAATGTTATTGTAAATCTTTTATTGAAGAGGAAATTTGTTTCCCCCGAAAGGATGAAAAACGTTTTGTATTTGACAAACTTTTCCAATATAGAAAAAAATAATTATCCTGACACTAAACATAACCCTAAGCCTTATTTGACTAAAACAATTTAAAACAACATCATGCTACAAATTATAATAACCAATTCTTGCTATCAACACCCATATAGGCCTCTTATACACCTGCATTACCACACGTTCATATTCAGATTGTATCTAGATTTAGTCTGATAATGTTTCGACCTGACATTAACATACATCAACAGTGAGATCCCATCATGATCTATGTCCATGCCACAACTGGGTACCTCATCAGGACCACATCCCTCTCTAACCCTTGAAAAAAAAAGCAGGCCGTACAGAAAATGGTAAATAATGGAAACACAACTGAGACAAGCACAGCATGTCAAAGTAGCTGACTGTTTACGTCCAGTTGTACTCTTTGAGGAACTGTATTTACACTTTATTTGGATCAGAATTAAAATCTTCTCACCTCTGGAGGCAGTTTGTGTATTTGGATCACAATCAATCTTCATTCACATGTGCATTTTTGGTGTAAGTTTTAATCTGATCAACCCAAATGCATAGGGATGCCTGTTATAATGTTATACTTTTTCTGTGCTTCTCGTATACACTTCCATGCATCCCTTACCTGAACTGAGAAGTAGAGTAGCCCTCAGTGTGTGTTCATTTACACAAGGTTGTACCATCTTGATTGCTATCTGATCAGGTGAAGAAGTGCAATGGGCTTCATCTTAATTAATCTTCATACATGTTGAACCCTTGAAGCTGATGTCTCCATATCAATTTTCTAATCTTAAATTGCCTTCCTCAGGGGAAGATGTGCCCATTGCCCTCTGTGAAGCAGACCGTCCTCCCACAGAAGTGGCCTGTGAGGTGCCGTGTTCTGCAGACTGTGTGGTTAGCTCCTGGTCCTCGTGGTCACCCTGCTCACACAGTTGTGCCACCAAGAACGCGGAGGGCCGACAGAGCCGCACTCGCACAGTGTTGGCCCTCCCAGGGAAAGGTAATTAAATGTTCCTTTTGACTTGTTTGGCTTTTCACCCTCTTTGCTGTGTTTATCGCTGTGTTGTTTTTGTGTTAAACTTCCTAAATAACAGTTTTGAATCAAATAAAATATGAGAACTGGGATGTTTCTTCCGTTTTTTGTTAATCAGGCATTTTGAAGATAGACTTTAGATTAAAGCTTTGATTTACAGTGTAATTTCGTTACATACAGGGTATTTAAACACAAAGCACTACCACTAGATACAAGGGTTTCCCACCAAGAAGAGGACAGAAATAAATGACCCTGTGTGGTTCATTAAATTATCTGGTACATGTTAAATATTTACAGTACAGTAATATATAGTATACATTGTTACTGGGTGACAAAGGAAAAACAAGATGACAATACTGATTTTTGAGAAACATTGAAAATCATTTCAATTACAATGTATTTACAAAAAACTGCTGTTGTAATAAAATAAATTGCACTATGATGTTTTTCAAAATGGAGAACTCAAAGCTCAGCTCAGGAAAGTTATAAGAATGATTTCACCAACACTGTTTTGGCTGTTATTGCTGTGGATTTCTCATGGAGTCCTATTAAGACGTTTTTCATTTCAAAAAACATTTGAAGTTTGAGTTGACCATCCATTATCGAGAGCTCTTTTCTGGCCAGTATTTTTCTGCCAGTGTGTTTTTAAGTCAGACAGCAGAGCCTTGGCAGCCAGCTACTACCCATTAATCCCTGTAACCAAACACATATCTGCAATAACAGCTGATGAAAGAATCTCACAGTTTAAGTCGGGGTCCAAACTGTGCTGTTTATTACTATGTTGCTGGCTATCTGCTTTCTGGCAGAGGTGCTGTGTGAGTGTGTATGTGTGTGTGTGTGTGTGTGTGCTGTGTTTGTGTTCATATGCCTGCTTGTTTGTAAGACTGTGTGACAGTACAGAACAACTGGAGAATGCAAAACAGACTGGAAAGTTCAGGTGTGTATTGGTCTTGGTTCAGTAACAAACTCATCTTAGCCCTTCTGCGAGTCACAGTTCCCTTTAGGGCACTTACCACTCTCGAGATGACACCCATGATACTACTTTTTTTTTTTTTACTACTGTCCCTTGTTTTACAGAGTAAAACTACAGATTATGTATTCTTTTTTAAATCTTAGCATGCCCCTTAATGTTTGTGCATGTGCATGTATGTGATACATACACAGTTTACTTGTGAATGATTGTATGTGCGTGTGTGTGCAACAAAAATGTACACAATAGATGAAGACAAAGTTCTGAAATGACACAGTAGGATTAAAAACACAGATAAAACACAAAATGTAAAAATAGCCCAAAATCAGGCTGCTATTGCATAGAACTGAATGATGCACTATAAAAACGTATTTCCATGGTGATAATACACCCATTCATCATGCATTTTCTTCTTAAATGCACTCTATATGTGAGATTTTGCCTTGTAGTTGTTACATTAGTGTCACCTGTCTGCAAATAGAGAGAGAAACATCACATAGTAGTAATAATGTTGCCCTTTGATTGCTCTACTGCACAGCCGCACACACCATGTTGATGAATCTGTTTTCACAGATTTTATGCTTTCAATGTTGCCATTGAGGTTGAATATAGAACTATATGTTATTTTTCCAAATAATGACTCAATATATGACACCAAAGGTGTCGGGAGCAGGGACTTAAAGAGATGGTTTAGCTGTGGGCAGTGTCTACAATGTTGTTACAGTGACCTGACTGTGACTTTTTTTTTTCAATTCAAACTTCTACAAGTTGTAACTTGTAAAGTGTCTGCTCAGCTAACACGAACAAACATTTGTTTTGTCGCTAAGCAGCCAGAGGTCAGTGATAATATTAGCATCTCCAGCTACTAACTTCAGCTTGATACTTTTTGTGAAAATCACCCTGAATAATAATGTGGCTTTTCCTGAACTAACACTAGTTTTAGCTTCTTCATAAATACTGCAAAACCTCTAATTAATCTTTGATTGTATGATTTTTATTGTGTGTTGGTGGCCAGGAGGAAAGGAGTGTCCAGCTGCTCCAGCCCTAGAGGAGTGGAGAGGCTGCAATGACCACCCTTGTATGGTGTTCTACTGGGAGGCCTCAGCTTGGGGTCCCTGTATTGAAGATGCCTCCATGAATCTCAATGGAACCAGCTTCTGGAACGGGACCCCTTCCTGTTCTGTTGGTGTTCAGATCCGCAAAGTCAACTGTATGAAGATGAATGTTGGACCTGTCATAAGTAAAAGGTACGTTCTCTGACCAGGCACCTCTTAAGCATCTCATTTCTAGAAGGTCAGAGGTAATGCAATAACTCCTTCAACTCTATACTATACCTCAATGTTGTGATTTTGCACATAACATGTTATACTATATCAAACGAGATGTTTCTACAGTTTAATATGTTAGTCTGCAGGCATGTTTTTTACAGTCTGTTGGGAGGCAAATCAATAAGTCACCTCCTTCCTTCCTCCTGTTTTCCTTTGGATGGAATTGAGTCCGATTTGATCAAATGTTGGCTGCATTTCTGTAACATTTGATTTTTTGTCTGATAGTTAAAAATAATAATTACATGTATCAAATGTGCCAATTAAAATGTCTGTTCTTGAGTCATTATGCCAGTAAAGCAATGGCACTGTGTAACAGAATAGTTTATTCATCTTATTCATCTATCCCTGTCTGACACTGCTACTTAGTTTTACATAGCAGAAAATTGATCCCGAGAGAAACAACTGGTAAAATTATGGGCGAGGAGTAAAAGAGCTTTATAAAATCTGGGGAGGAGTTGAGAGGTGATCATATTTCTCTTACAAAAAAATCATTTAAGTTTTAAGTTTCCAAAAAGCATTTTACTTTGAGATAGTGTATGCCTTTACTTAAAAATGACCCAGAAGACTTGATGCACTGTGAAATTATATCCGCAGAGATTATTGAACTCTTCTTTTGTGCTTTCTGCCTGTGTTTAGGATTTTTTTTTATGTGAACCTGATATTCATTTTGCTTATGTTCAACCATTATCTACTCCTTTTTCTGCAATACAATATCAAACACTGCTAAAGGCTTTTGTGCTGTCACTGTAATGATGTTATAGCCCACACCAGAAAGATAGATTTATAAATAATTCACAAAATTTGCCCTTCTTTAGCTCGATATATTATTGACAGGGTCATAAAGTGGATTATGAAGAGGCTTTTTTCTTATGAACATCCTATCTCCCGCCACAGAGGCTTTAATGAAAGCTGTCATTTCTGCTACACCAACAGATCTTGCCTTTACAGTATGCTGTGAATTCAATGATGAATTGCTATTCATGTCTAGCTATAGAGTTTAAATTTAATGTAACAGCATCTAACACATGCCTCAGCACGTTGCTATTGATCATAGTTGACTTTGTCTATCAGTAACAAGTTACTGGGACTGTCTGCTGTTTTTCCTTTATGTACAGAGTGTACGACTCAATCAGGGTTTCAAAACTCATACAGCATTAATACACAGAAGACAGATACACTGCGGCTGCATGTTTCCTAGACTGATTCAGAGTGATTTGGAGTGTTCAGCTTCTGCCATTTTCATGGCTTTAACCCCTGTTTATCTTAAAATGTGTTTGATATGCAGGAATGTCCTTGATATTTCTAAATCGTTCTCATCTGAGGAGCAGATGCACCCTGAATATATTTGATATTGAGCTTCTTGAGAAGGGTCACTCCAGTCAGTAAACATCTAAGCATTTAATGCTTAGCAATAATCTCCGCAGTGAGCAGTGGCTCAATGAAAGGTTAGTAGGTGTTTATTGGTACCTGTTTGTAGCCAAAACAATTAGATTTTCAGTTTAATTTCTGCTCCCTTTTGTCACATATTGAAGATAAAATATGAATTAACAAACTAAAGCAGTGGCGACAAGAGTGTAACCTATAACAGTTTTTGTGATGTACTGTATTGGTACTAAATTATCATTTTTAATAACATACTGTAATGATGTAATTAGGATGATGCAATTGCACATGGTAATATCAAAACTCATTACACTTAAAAGGCCCAACATTTTTTATATTTGTTTTTTAGTTAATTGTTGGAGACATGTTGTTTGTTGTTAACTATGTTCAGAGGAGACAAAGCACATCATTTAGTCATTTAGTTACTATCCTGTAAAACAACACTCACTTAAACCTCAATATGAATGTTTAGTATTAATATTATTAGTGTAAATATTATAAGCTAACTTGTTATTATACGAAAATGATGAATTAGGTATTGCAATTTTGAAGACATAATTAACAATGTGTGAGAGACATTTAATGTTTCCAACCATGTCACAGTTGAACACCGTGGCCTTGACTGTAAGTCTGATTCCCTCATTCTGTGCGTACCACACGATATTCCCCCAGCTGCTCTGTTGCGTTGCCATGCCCTCTGGCATGCATCACTGCAAAGAGGGAGAGAGAGAGGAGGGATAAAGCTGGGGAAGGATGGGTTTTATGTATCTTGCCTCCTTATGCTTTGGCATACTTTGATCTCATTCCTGTGCGTGCTGGCTTTCTGCAGTTGCTAGGATGTGGCACCATGCTGGGTCTCTAGTGAGACCTGGATCTGGTTGTCGAGCAAAGGAAGTCACTCACTCTGAAAAAATTGAGATGTCGATGTGTGTGTGGGTGTGTGGGTGTGTCTGTATGTTTGTGTGTTGGCGTGGGGGAGGGGGGGATTGGCTGCTACTTGATGAAGACATCAAAGCTTAGATTTATTTGATTTAACATAGCTGCATTAATCCACACCACTTCAAGGTTGGCGCGACACACAAAATGCAACACAGCCAAAGGGTACATTACAGATACGTTACACAAGATGTGTAGCAGCCTTATTACAGAGGAAATATGTGATTATTTTCTATTTCAAGATGCAGAAATTGGTAAAAGTCTGTGAAGTGCTCTCTAAAACCTATGAGAGTAATGGTGTCCTTGGTGTGGCAGGAATGATTCATTGGTAAACAGTTTGCATATCCTCACTTTTCTCAGGTTTAATTAGCAGCCATGCTGTGGACTTTGATTGATTTTTCCTCCTTGAACACTCTGTCTCCTTGGTGGCAACAAAAGACTGCTGTGGCTGTTCTGTACATGTATACAGGGAGATAAATGCACTTACCTGGTTGTTTAAACTGATCCGAAATTTGTTCCTTCTAGTTTACACTGACCTGGTTACACATTTTATACATTCACTCCATTCGATGTACTATGTATCATTCCATGAAAACAAGTAGTGTAACTCTTTATATCTTGAATATTGTTATTGATTATGCATGTTAGTTATTCTTAATTTATTTATTTATTTGCAACCTAGGGCCAGTGGAACAAAATAACATTGATATATTATCACCTCATGAAGCTGATATATGTTGAATTAATTGCAAATCCAGAAACATTAATTGGAATAGATTCCAATTATTACCTGATGTTTAAAGC